TTATCAGTGACTAGGATGACTGAAGGTAAACAGAACAGCCCAATGCTCTTATTCCCCAATTACTGAAGGCTCACAAATGACAAGATTTTTCTTGGTGCCTGTGGGGTGTCCCTTGGATATATTAAAGCTGATTGGGCATTCTGGGAGTTGTAGAGGTAATACATCATTCCCATGCTGGCTGGGAATCCTGGGAGTTATAGTCCTAAGATATCTTGTAGGTATTTAGGATATCTTGTATTGTGCTTTTTACAGTATTCTGCTTTTGCCTCCTCCAGCCCCCTCCCGCAAAAAAAGAGTTGCAAGGAAGTAGGGACTCTCATCTCCCTCTCAGGAATGTGAGCAGAATCAGGGGAATGGAGAGAGAAGCAATATGTTTTGATCATTCCAGACATCTGCATGCAGATGGCTGATTTCCACTTGGATTTTAAGCGAAATCACTGAAAAAGGATGGAACTCTGCTGCTTACCTTTTCCTAGCAACCCATTTTAAAACTGTTCTCTTCCTACAGAAAGAATCACTTAATCTGAAAACAGGTCTCAAGGAGTGGAGAAGCACCATTGCTTCCCCTTCCTTGCAACAATACTGTTGAATTTACAGTGGACATGGTCTCCCCCATTCTTCCCCCTCTCTGCATTTAATTTGCAAAGTCCCGTTATGCAGTTGATTTCTGATAAAAATGTAACCAATTAGGAATTACTGTATATTCTTTCGATAGCATCTCTTGAATCATCCAGCATTTTTTTAAATTCAAAGTTGATTAAATGATACAAAACCTAGAAAAATACAGGGACTTCAACATAGAATAATTCACAATACAGAATTTGTTCCATTTTAACCATTAGGTGGAGCATGAAGCCCAAAATCTTAAACAATTTTCATTTGAAGATTTCATTAAAAGTAAGGTTTTGCATCTGACCTCATTAAAATGAGTGCTGAGCGGGTAAGATATATATATTGTTTAAAAAAGAAATTTCATTCCGTTTTTCAAGTCTGATATATTAAGACAAGGAAAGAACAGCGCACTGATTTAGGAACAGTATTGCCATTATAAACCAGATTGCATCTTAATGTATTTATATATTTTGGCACTCACCAGAGTGTTAGACATGTTCTATAAGAAAAAATATATAACATAGTAAGTATAAACATTGGCCCATATATTTCTGATTCTTCTGCCAATTATTTTGAGTGGGTAGGGTTCAATTTTAAGGAGCTTTAAGGAACAAAATAGGGTGTCTTAGACTCTGCCTTCCTTCAATCATGGCTCATATCAAGGACTTCACCACTATCACCCCACCCAAGGCTGGGAGAAGGACCAATGACCAATGTGACAATGCTCTACAACACCCAGTATTATAGTTTTGGGATAGAATTTGGTGGTCCTGTTCAAATGACAACTGTAACTAATTCCCTTCCTTCACCAGAATTGAGAAGATTCATGGAATACTCCTCTCTGTTTTGGAAGTCGGAAGAAAAGGCTAATCCTTGAGAAACTCCATAAAAATGAGTCTTTGTCCTATTCAGTTTTCACCCCTGGGGCCATATGGGAAGGGTGATGGAAAAGAGGGATAATGGATAAGCGTCACCATCTCTCTCTCTCTCTCTCTCAAAGAAAACCAGCCCCAAGATGTGGCCTACCAGGACAAGGATGGAGTTAATTCCTCTGGAGAACACTGATATAGTCAGTCACATCATCCAAACCTAGGCACCAGTTTCATTATTTTGGCCTGATCACTGCCCCATACAACCTGATTTCCATGTCAAATTAAAGAGCCACTTCCACCTCAATAAATATCAGAAAATAATTATTCCTCACGGAACCCTATGCTTGGGCATTAGATTATTAATTGCATTTTCATAGCATGGGAGAGAGTGAAAATGGGTATGCAGGTAGGTTCTTGTTTCTTGTCAGTATCCTAACTAGGAAATATAGACAGGATAGTTTGATTTTCCAGACCATGATAGAACAGACTTTGCATGCAATAGATGACATCTATTTGCATATTTGTACGATTTGCATCATTTTGTATGATTTGCATCATTTGTACGATAGTGTTATTTGCATCATTTTGCAATTTGCATCATTTGTACGATAGTGTTATTATTTAAATGACATAATTTGCATCATTTGCACTGCTGCAATGACATACCCTTCCATTCACTGAACTTTCGAGAATAAGGAATACCCCCCCCCTTCCCAATTAATCCTTTAAAACTAGGTTTCAGTATATTTACAGTTGATAAGAACAAAAACTATACTCAATCTTAGCCAAGGACCAAGAAGCTTCTTATCGTTTTGACTACGATCAAGCATAACATTTACAATTGCCATGAATTGTCATTGAAAATCATACTCAGAGCACTGGAATATTTAAGCAGGCACAAACATATATCTTAGGAATTATTAACTTAGGTGCCAGTATACAGAAATTTCATTTGGTAGCAAGGCCCAGAAAATCTCTGTTTTTTTTTTTTTAAAACTAATGATAATGCCCCCATGGCTGATTCTAAGAATAATAAATAAAACTAATTTAATGCTTTTTTTCTCTTAACTATGTATTTTCCAAATATTACAGCAAACTTCCTCAACTTGCTGCTCTCTGGATGAGTTGGAATATAATTTCCATTTTCATGGGTGATTGAAATTGTAGTCCATACACTGCATTATGGCTCTTTATCTTCCAAATAAAAACAAGGAATCTCCCTCCCAATTCTAGTGCATTATTTAAATTATCATCTTCATGTTATTATTATACAGAACAGAAAAATTAACACATATATCCTCATTAAGAAAGTGATCAGATACACATACACGTGAGGATATTAAATTATTGAAATCGTCTGTCCTGCCAGAATCTTTATTCTGGTTTGCTTTGCACTTATCATCATCCTTTCTCTGGGCAGGCTTCAGACTTCTTGACTTGACCAAATATAAAACTCATTTGGGAAATTATTTTTTAAAATATACACAGGCCTTTGGAATCTTTATCTCACTAGCAGCTTTTCTTTGAGATTAACAAACCCTGTGAATCAATGCAAACTGAGTTTCCCTTCTATCATTTTGCTAGGATAAGGCTTTCTGTATTTTCTGATCAGTTTTTCCAATTGCGTAAGAATACTTAACATGATCAGGCAGTTCTATATGCTCTTGGTAAGGTAGCAAATGTTTCTTTTCTCACTAGTGAATTTGGGATGCTGCTATGAGACAGATGATATCATACAGATGATGTCATACAGACTCAGAGGGCGAATAATAGAGCCCTCATTTCCTTTATAGAGATCAGGGGATGCTGCTAATCTTTCCTGAAATTGAAGATGAGATTCCCAGAGCAGGCCTTTCTTTCTCCCAAGCAGGGGGAGGGAGGGACTGCACATACACTATCCTTCCTAATATCTTACTGTGGTATGTTTTGTTAGACTGAAAGTAACAAACTCTATTTCACTTTCTTCAATTCTGTTTGAGATTCTTTTCTGCAAAGGTTGTTCTCTACGGACTGTGTAATTCAGGTGGAACCTGCCTCCATCTTAGCTTTCAAGACAAGAGAGAACTGCCTGATGACAAAAGGAGGCTCTTTTGGTCTTTTGCTCTTTTGGAAAGGAGGCAGTTGGGTTTGTTCTACAGGCAACTTGTGGTGAAGCTAATATTCTGACAAATAGAGTTATGAGATAAACTGGGAAATCTGCTCAAAATGAGATGTTTTCCTTCTAAACAGTTCTAACTTTTAGCCTATACATGCTTACTTGGAAGAGGCATAAGATTTAATTGCAATCAGTTGTGCATATGTTTGCACTTTTATTGAACGTTCAGGGTCTGAACTGAGCCACCTTCATTTAGAAGGAGTAAATTATGTGATGAACTCGAGAATACAAGTAGAAACAGTGCACCTTACATCCTGGAACAGGAGAAAGATAATCAGATGTCTTCAAGACATTTTGGACTCCAGGAGCCCTAATGCCTTTTTAACCATTGTAGCTGAAGTTGAGAGTAGCTGATATACAGACTTCATCTGAAGTGCACCAACTCCTTTGCCCCTACTTCCAGAATGAAAATCTCATTTTGCAGAACAGGCTGCGCTAAGCTAAAGTGGGGTTGAGTAATTTGTGTTGGGCTGTTGCAGATGTTGTTTCACTTTGATGGGACTTTGAACTGAACACTCCTTCAAACCTGCTATGGGATGAACTGAACACTCCTTCAAACCTGTATTGGATGCAGTCTGAATCCCAAGTACTAAGAACAAAATGAAGTTGTCAAGTTCTTTCACTCTGCATTGCTTCTGAGCTTTCCTCTAGCATAACCTATACCTCACTGGAAGGACTAGAAGATGCTTCTGTGCATGTGCAGGACGTGTGCAGAAGTATCTTCCCACTACTGGAGGCAGCAGCGCTACCTCAGCAACAAATTACATGCTTTGAGGAGGTAAATCACACGACTGCTGCACTTCAGTGAAGTGAATCATGTAGCCTCTGCAATGTAAAGTCCCTCCTCAAAGCAAAGAGCAGTATTCCCATGGGGGGCGGTGGGGGGGGGGGAACAAAAGGCCAAGATGGTGGGAGTGACCATGTGATTAAAGCCACACTCCTTTGTATGTGTATCCCCCTTCCTGCAGATACCTGTGCTTCTCCCATAGGCCTAGTTTGTGGTTCTCCATGTTGTGGGAACTCAGCCATTGTCTTAGCATATTCTGGAACCACACCACCACCATAAACTGTAGTATAGCTTATTTAGTGGAGCATAACATTTTTTGTAAACACAGAAGTTGTGCTTTGTTAATGCTTTGTTATATAAACCCAGCCATAGAGTTGGAGAAGGTTTAGTAGGTGATTTAGTGTAGCATTTTTCTCAGCAGGAGAGAAGAAATGGAAAAAGAGTATCCCCAGCAGACGGCTTTTCATCCTCTGCTGAAAACTTCTAATAGCAAAGTATTTATCGCTAGGTCACAAATGTATTTTATATTTTACGAACAAACATCTCACACTAAATAATTAGATTTCAGATATACCTGTAGTTCTCCTTCCATTATACTCAGGAGCCGGACGAGGTCCTCTTTAGAAAGTTCTATTGATTTCTTGCTTTTCCGCTCATTAGGCCCTTGTAATTTGCTGCGCTGCTTCACAGTTCCTGGACCTGAGATTTCATCTTTCTGATTAGATTTGTTCTTTTTCTTACTATCTTCCTGAAGGTTTTGATTTTCTGAAGAGTTGATAATGGTCTTTGACTTGGGTAACTGCTCGTTGGATGAGCTCTCCCCACCTTGATTTCGAGATTTCATTTTGATCTAGATAAAGGGGAAAAAATTGAATGCAAGAATGGGCAAGTTTCTTTCTACATTTTAAGAAATTACAGCTTGTCTATTTGCACAGGAGTCTTAAGACAACCCAGAATGAATCCGTTGTAACCATACTACAAGTAGTCCAAACATTTTCAGCCTCATTATAAATAAACATCAGTTGACAACATTTGGCGCAAAATATTATGGAGTATTGTATAAATATAAATTTAAATATTCAAGTGAGCTTTACATATTCACTGCTGCAATGCAACAGTGATGGAAATTGCTGTAACTGGTCACTGGAAACCAGAGAATCTGAGAGAGAGAGAGAGAGAGAGGGAGGGAGGGAGAGAGGGAGGGAGGGAGGGAAAGAATTTTGCATGGCTATGTCATATAGCCACATAAATATTTTCTGGACTCCCTAATTGGGGGAGAATGATTCTGAATTTTAAGGAAAATTCAAAGCATTTCATTGCTTTCATGATGCTAGGAGCAAAGCACCATTTGAAGCTGTTTCATAAAGGAATGCAGCTGCTTCTGCTTCTAAAAACTTGTTTCAGATCATTATGACATGTTGTCCACAGTTGTGGTAGCAGGAAGGAATTACTTTGCATGCACAGAAGCCTTTTCCAGATACTGGAACTTCCAGAAGTGGTCTTAGAGTGACAAGAAGTGTTTCAAGGAGGTAAACTGCAGCATCTTCACATCTCAACGAGGCAAACTGGTTACTTCCATGGAGTGAAGTATATCATAGCAACAAAGTTGGGCACCTGACACTGGTCTAGTAGAGAGTCTTTTATCACCTTATTTCTATTAGAATAATGTTCAAACATACATATATAATGGCTACTAAACAGAATGTAAATATCATCCCTTAACATAAACATTTTCTCCTGTAAGAACAATGGTTAATGAAAATTAGCTTCCTAATAGTATTCTTGGCTCTGGGAGAATATTATCAATAAAGTCCCTTTGTTACTCAACAGCCTAATTGTTGTGCTTTTCTTCCATCTTTGAGAAGAAGGTATGTTGATATTAAAACAGCAGCTCCCACAGCATTCTTTTGACTATGGCTCAGTTGCTGTCCACACAGAAAGTAACAGGAATTATTGGGCGAAAAGCAGGAAAGCCTGAAGTTCTGGTCTCCCTGGCATCCAAGCCAGAAATGGCCATGGAGGCATGGAGCCCAACAGCAGCATGAGAGGGCTAATCTGATGGTGGGCCAATTAGAGCCCAATAGGACTCCTCAGTGCAACATAAAACATTCTCACAGGGATCTTCTTCCATTTTCTCATGAAGAATATTTCTTTCCTGCCGGATCACTGTGATCCAGCTTCAGCCTGCCTCACCATGGTTTGGCACCAAGACGGAGTCTCTGTTGTGAGGATAAGTCTTTAGCGCGTGGGCTGTCTTGGAGCTGGTGCAAGGAGACTGGGTGGATGAGGCCTAATACAGTTTGAGCTGGAAGTTCTTATAAGAATGTATCAGTATATCAATTTAAAGTAGTACTGGCTGTCACCCCTTGATACGCTATTGTGAACAAGAGATTTCTTGCAAATCTATCTGTTTTTCCTTTTAGCTCCTTTCCTGGATTGCAGCCTCATAGTAGAATGAAGGCCAAACCATATACTGTAAGATGGAGTACTATCTGAGGCCAGAGGAGTGTGCTGCCTGTCCCTTCTACTTCATCTTTTCTTTCCTTCATTCATTTTGCTTCTACGTTAGTGGCAGCAGCACAAGTGACCTCACTCATCAAAATCTCAGATGAAACAGTGGAAAATGTGGAAAAAAGTGACCATGGAGGTCCCCTGCATCGTAATGACTTTGCCATTATGACAGCAAATGCTGTTTTAAAGGATGTGTGCATGCATAGTTCCTAATCTGGCTAGGTCAAGCCCATTTCTCTACAAACTTACTTTAACTAAATCTAGGAGATTAAGCTCAATGGGTTTAAGTGTGTGCTTTTTGAGTGAGATCATGACTGTGGCATATTCAGAATATGAAGTACATTGAGCTTTTAGAAGAAACAAATCCAATTTTGTTTCCTCAGATAACATTTTAAAATATTTTATTTAAAAACCTTCAGCCTGGATGCATTTAAACTCTATCTAGCTCTTCCATTTTTCAGTTTTTCTCCAATTTATAATCCAGAAAGGATGAGATGAGAGGTTGTATTAATAATATGACTTGTGTGTGTGTGCCTTCTAGTCAGTGTTGACTCCTGGCAACTGCCTGGATTAGTCCCTGCAGTTTTCTTGGCAAGGTTTCAGAGGTAGTTTGCCATTGCCTCCTTCCTAGGGCTGAGAGAGTGTAACTGGCACAAGGTCACCCAGCTGGTTTTGTGCCTAAGGTGGGACTAGAACTCAGAGTCTCCCAGTTTCTAGTCTGATGCCTTAACCACAACACCAAATAATATGACATAGCCATATTGAAACCGCTCAAAAATATGTTATCGTGACATCCTTGTCTATTTCCAGAATGGTTTCTTGTTGATTAAATTGAAGATACCTATTATGGAATTCAAAGATTTGCATCCCATCTTCTTATTGAACTGTTTAACAGTACAAAATTATATGGGAAACAATTTGCAATAACAAAACCAAACAAAATTAAAAGAGGAAGTTCTAATTTGCAACCTACCTGGTGAAAACTAAATTGGTAAGCCAAAATGGCAAAATGAAAATAAGAAAAGGAAAGAATAACAACACACCAATAATTGGTTGGGTTCAGATTTTGTACTACTTTATAGTGTTCTTTGTTTGACTTAGCAGGTTCTGTGAACTCAGACCTTACGACTGATGCAGTACAATATTGTTAAGCAAACAATGCCATTGTGTTGCATCTCTAAATTGCTATGAAACATTAAGCCATTTTGTGGCTGGGCCTGTGTAACATTCAAACGCAGACCATGGCTTAAATTGTGATTATGGGGAATCACCATGGCCAACTATGCCATTCAAACTCAGAACATGTAATGTGCAGTTAACTCTTCTTTCTGTCCTTCAGACACAGTCAGGAGACTGAAATGGCTGTAAAACAGAATTAGTCCATCTGTAGCTTTCCTATTGCTTTTTTTCACTCCCCACATAAGCTCAGAGAATGAAATGCATGATGAAAATGCAAAAGGAGTGGGATAAATGTGCATCCACAGCTTTGACTAGGCATTTCTCTCTCTCCACCATTGTTTAAAATAAACTAGGAATGACCAGCTGGGCAATCACTGCACTGATTACAATATAGGTTAATCAACAAACAGGCTGGTCACAATTTCCCACATCATCTTATAAATGAACCAATATACAGTATAGTATCATGTAAATCAGTGTTTCTCAACCTTGGCAGCTTTTAGATGGGTGGACTTCAACTCCCAGAATTCTGAGGAGAAACACTGATGTAAATGAAATGCTTCCTAGAGTGCTACTAAGGTTTGGAACAAAACAGTAAAGGAACTATTCAAATCTTCCTTGTAAGGATACTGCAGTTTATATTGCACTTTACATAATATTGCACTTCTGACAATACCAGGATATCGCTGAAACTTCTAAATAAATTTGAGGATGCAAGGAACAGAATTTTCAGAAGTTTAGATGTTAACTTGAGTTTGTTTTTAATGGAACACACAAGCATTTTTAGTCCTAAGCATATGTTTATAGTAAAAATGAATTTTATCAGAGCTAGTTATATTCTAAAAGTATGAATAGGATTAGAAGAACCTACTTCAAAGAGTTTGTCACTGTTCCAAAATCATATGAATAAAATGCCTTATTAGTACAAATATATGAGTATTCTGTATAATTGATAGGAAAAAAAGCAGAAAATCCAAATAATATTTTCAGGGCCAAATTCGCATGCATTTATGTTGAAATGTAAACAAGAGCCAGATTTTCAATAATAGATAGAGAACTTGAGAGATTACCAAACACATCACATCCATTATTTCAGTTATTCTAATAGTAACAATGAAACCCAGTTTGGTGTAGTGGTTAAGACACCAGGCTAGAAACCGAGAGGCTATGAGTTCTAATCCCACCTTAGGCACAAAACCATCTGGGTGACCTTGGGTCAGTCACTCTCTCAGCCCTAGGAAGGAGGCAATGGCAAACCACTTCTGAAAAAAACCTTGCCAAGAAAACTGCAGGGACTTGTCTGGGCAGTTACCAGGAGTCAAGACTGACTCGAAGGTACACGCACGCATGCACGCATGCACGCACACATAACAATACTGTACAATATCTCAATATGATGAGCTTAAACTAAGAATCAGTTACTGAGTTCATACTATAGTGTAAGATATGGCTTTTAAACTATGTCTTGTTAAATAAACCATAATCAATGGGTTAAAACGGCACACAACATAGTTTATAAACCACATTATCTAGATTTATTCAAATGCAAAGTCAAAAAAAGCAAATCATATTATGGCTTAGTATTATTTGTGAACCAGATGAGTGAGTTGCCTAACATTATCTACTAAGGTGAGAAATAACCAGAGATTTATTCATAGTTTAACTTCTGTAGTAAACATCAAAAACATCTGCTTTATTAGGATACATGTGTTGAAAAGGTTTGTAGCACTGAGGTTATTACGAATTGTTATTTTGTATTAAAAATTCCTAGCTTTATTATATGACAATATAGCTTCACATGACAGTTCATACATTGTACCAAACCATAATAGGGTTTATTTAGATTAGCAATAATTAAATCAAAGTAAAACCAAATCAACCACCACCAAAAACTCAGGAAGAGGGACATTAGTGCAATATGAGACTTGCCATTGTGATTTATAAAACGTGAGGAATGGCTTCACATTACGTATGAGCCAAACCCAAGTTCAGAACACAATGCTTGATTAAGGTAAACCATGGTTAGTATGATCAGATAATCCAGCCAATGATCCTTTGCCTGTGAATAAAATGTGAATTGTTCTTTGGGAAGTGACTTTAAAACTGATCACATTATTTCAGGATTATTCTGCAAATATATACACTGTATGAAGAACAGAG